GCTGTGAGTGATGTATGTTTGCAGGTCTGTGTGTGTCATGGTATACATGTAGAGGCTAACTACATGTGTGGCCTCTGTACCATTCTTTGTGTGGGTTCTGGGGATCTGACTTTTTGTTTGTTTGTTTGTTTGTTTGGCTCATGTAGTAAGCATTTTTCTGTGTTGAGCCATCCATCATGTGCCTGGTGTTATTGTTTTTTAAATTGTTTTTAAGATTAGGTCTCATGTAGTTCAGGCTGGCCTCAATTCACTTTGTAGCCAAGGCTGGTCTTGAACGCCTGATTTCCTGTCTCCACTTCTGGATTCCAGACATGCTCCACCATGCCCCATGACATTGCTCTAGCTTGGGAAAAAAAAAATTTGTGTGTGTGTGTGTGTGTGTGTGTGTGTGTGTGTGTGTGTGTGTGTGTGTATCCAGGTGGCTTCAAACCTTCAAACTCACAGAGACCTGCCTGCCTCTGGCTCCCACATGCTGCTGGTAAAGGCTTGCATCACCATACTCAATGGTTATTTAACTTCGATGAGTCACTCTTAGCTTTCCCTTGATTGGCTGTCAGAGCTTGTGTAACTTCAAGTGCCCCTTGCTGGTGATGGAGAGTCAAACTGTTATCAACTCTAGGCAAAGATGGTAATACCTAGTCTCTGCTGGACCCAAGTGTGTGTTATGGGGGGAACCTCTCATGGAGGCTTTGATCTGTTGACGGGATCTTCTCATTCCTCTTGAGAGTTCCCATTTCATTTCCATCCATACTGGACCAGAAAGCTGTGTCTGTGGAGTGCTGGCCTTGGTCCCTCCATATGTGTTTTTGCTGAGTTGAGCTGTGGCATTGTGCTGTCATCCTGAGGTGAGAGCACACCACAACTGGACCCTTGTAATCACAGCTGTATTTTTCTGTTGTAAGAATGTCCTCAGACTGGCATGGTTGTGGACACTTGCCATCCTGGCACTTGAGAGGCTGTAACAACATCATCTTCAGCTCAGGGAAATGAACCATCTTGACATCCACCAAACTCAACAATCACCACTGGCGAAATTAGTGTTCAAAAATGTCAGATTTAGGGGCCAACAAGATGACTTGGTAGATAAAAAGCTCTTGCCACACAAACCTGAAAACTTGAATTTGATTGCCTGAACTCAGTGGAAGGAGAGAACCGACTCCACGAAGCCATCCTGACCTCAGTGTGTGTGCCATGGCACAACTCGCCCTCCCCAGTTACATTTTTAAAAATCCAGTGAGACTTACTCTCAAAGGCCAGAGATGAAAGGTATTTGAAACAGATGTCCACTGGTTCGAAGGCAAGTCCAAGGGGGCAGACCTAATTTGGACAGACGATCATCACTGGAAAGACAGACGTGAATCTTAAGGTAATTTATTTGGCAGGAAGAGCAGTCATTTGAATATCCAGGGCTAGTGTGTCAACCATGGATATCCCCTTTTGCAGCTCAGGGTCAAGGTTGGGTTTAACAATTTTGGTCATCCTTCCTGTAGGCGGAGCCAAAGCGTGTGACGGGAGCACGGGTCCTGAGCAGCACCACGCGTCCCCTCTCATTTTCAACCTAGAAGATGATGTCGCAGAAGCTGTGCCTCTACAGAGAGGGAGCCCCGAGTACCAGGCGGTGCTGCCCAAGGTCACCAGGGTTCTTGCCGATGTCCTTCTTGACATTGCTCATGACAACAGCTCCCAGGCAGACTACACTCAGGATCCCTCAGTGACCCCCTGCTGTGACCCCTACCAAATTGCCTGCCGCTGCCAAACCATGTGACAGGTCGTTCTTTTTCCCCGTGAGAAAGGTGATCTGGAAATTGCAGACAGGTTAGGTTCACTTCCAAACTTCATTTTGGACGTGGATGTCTACTTTGGGAAGGAAGTTGCAGAATCTGGTTTGGAAGCTGTAACTTCCTCTCTCCCTGTGTAGACTGCCCCCTCCGCAGGCAGGTTCGAGAAGCGTCAAGCGCTGATACAGTGGGCATGGCATGATTGCGCACCAGTGGGCTATGGAGTCACAGCACAGGTCCAACCAAGTCCTAGGGTTTAAGCTTGGGCAATGACTTAACTGTAAGTTGATTTTGAAGGTTAACATGACATATGAAGTCACCTGTGCATCCTCAGCACCAAGCAGATCCCAAAGCAGGTCCTTAATGTTTTAGTTTCTGTCTTGTGTCCCCAGTTTCACTGGTCACTGTGAAACATACCATTCACAAACTCATTCTGGCTGGTATGTAGAGCTTGGCCATCTTCAATACACATACAGATCACCAGGGAATCTTGCAAAATGCAGAATCTGGCTCAGGAGATGTAGAGGAGGGTCTGGGAGACTACACCATTGCTGGGTTCCTTTGAGATGCCTTGAGCAGCGCAGAGCTAAACCGAAGTTAGGTCTCCCCAGGCCTTGGAGCAGAAGAACTCATGGTCCTTCTCTCTCGTAAATGTTACATGGCTATACTAGAAAGATTCAGGGGTTTGGGGCTGAAGAAATGGCCCATCAGTTAAGAACACTGGACCTGGGGTCAGTTTCCAACACCTACATGGTGGCTTAAACTGTGTATAACACTAGTTCTAGGGGACCCACCACTGTCCTCTGGCCTCTGAGGATGCCAGACATTCACATGGTACACATACATACATATATACATGTAGGCAACACTTTTAAAATAACATTTAAGATTTCTTCCCAGCCCCTAAAACTTCTAAGAAATAAAACAAACAAAAAATGTAAACAACTCACAAATGCATTGCCATGATTTTATTTAATTAGTGTCCTGAATGGGACTCAAGGGTAATAAACGATTTATTCCAATCACTGCAAAAATACTTTGCCTGGTTAAAATAGTTTCTCTCTCTATGTCTGTAATATACAAGAAACACAATTCAAAGGGATTTCCCACTAAGTACATTTTTTTTTTTTTTTACACAGCATATATTTGACAAGGACGTCCTTTTTAATATAAAATCCCGGTTATATACCAATATGGTTAGTTAGCATTTACACTGGTTTGAAGGTATTTTAAATAGCATGATGTGACTCCAACATTCTCCTCACCCACTGGCAGCCAAGGCTGAGGGGGCTGGGTGGGGGGCTAACCATGGTCTATGGCTCAGGCAGCGAGGCACCCAGGATTCCTGCCTCCCTTCCCTCTCTGCTCACACAAGTGATTGCACTCCGTTTCTTCCACTGTCCTTGTTCTCTCCAGAACCACCCGACAGGGTGTCCTGACTTCTGGGGTGCGCTTCTTGTCAGGACTGCTTCGTTTTGCCCTTCTGACTTCCGCGGCACAAGATTATCTACCAAAATCAAAACAGAACGGCCTTACTCTTATTCAGGGAAGAGGCTGGGTTACCCACGGGTCTGTGCTATTCGGGTCAGCAGGGGAGGCTGGGCCTTTTGAAACGTTTATATATGACCACAGACTGACCCGCACTCATGGCCATGGGAAAGTCCACCCACCTTATGTAGGTGTGGACAGTGGTGGCACAGATTCCAACAATACTGTTTAAAAACTGTATGTGTGCACGTGTGCTTGTGTACATGTGCTTTTTTTTAAAAGGCTCATCTTACTGTAAACATTGACTGCTAAATGACTGTAAAAAGAACACAAAATGTCAGCATGGGTTCTCGGTCCACGTTGCTGTTCTTTTGCTCACAAGGTTAATATTAGTGTCACAGAATCAACAGACTGCATGCTGGCTTGCTAACGAAGCAAAAGCTGGTCTCGAAGCCTCTTCCCAGGGCACGAGATGATGAGCTTGCTTTTCTCTTGCTGGTCTTGAAGCGAAGTCAATCCCAAAGAGGAAAGTGGTGTTGGGGGGCGGGGTGGGGGGGTGGCAGTCTACTTTATAAAGGAAGCTAGTGGCAACTCATGGGCTTAAGGCAGAGGCCCAGGGGCCTGAGGCTGACTCCACCAGTGAGCTCAGTATTCTTACCCAGAGGGGAAGTGATTTTGGCTAAGCTGAGACTCCCAAGATTCTTTTGTAGTCTCAGAAACTTGTAAAGAATTGTGAGTAAAGATATGGATTCTGGGAAAGTATTTGCAAGAGGCATGCAATTCAGAATTCAGGCAGGGATAGAGGCTTTCCTAGCAAGCCCAGTCCCACACTTAGGCTACAGGGGCATGACTGAAATGGCTGCACCAAGCAGCAACCCAGCAGCGCTCTCGCCTCTGCTCCTGTGCCTGGAGACCGAGAAGCCTGCCTGCTGCTGACCCAGTCAGAACATTGGCTCCTCTTCTCTATCTTCCTGCAGGCCGTGGGTTGGGCTGGGCCTGGTGGCCACCATGACGCCCAGCACCTGCAGGTACCCAGAAGCTGTGCCAGCTTAGCTGGACTCTAACAGTTCTGGGAACTTGTTTTCTCACGAACACTTACTGGCAGGGAGAATTTCTTGTGTATAAACTTTTTTTTTTTGAGGCTGGGGATGGACCCAGAGTCCATTGCCTACTGAGCTAGCCACATCCCTAGCCTAGACAAGAATTGGAAATGCAGTTTAAGTTTAAACTTTCACAAATTTGCTCCTTAAGAGGGAGATAGGACAGCTGGTCTGTACCTGATGACCTGGCAGTGTTTAGGTGAGCATGCCTACGACACATCTGAACATTAGTAGTTTTGGATGTGTGTATGTGTGCACATGTACATGCACATGCATGTGCATATGTATGGGGGGGCTGAGCATGGAACTCAGAGCCTCTTACATGCTAGGCATATAAGACATCATTAATCCATACCCCTCAACACTAGTTCTTAAATTAAGCGTCTCTGATTCTCCTCCTCTCCAGGAAATAGCTTACTCGGGGTTATTGTTTTACTCCTCCAGCAAGGGACTACCGCCTACATGCCAATGTTCAAGTTACTCTAACTCTGTAAACACAGGAGGCTGCAGGCTCTGCTCTGACTGCAGCGAAGACTGATCCAGGATGTGTCAATCTTCTACAGCCGTCTCAGATTTTTACCAAGACTGCCGACACAGAACTGAGCGAGCATCAGACCTTGGCAGAATAGGACGTTCTGGTCATGTCTGTCTCCTAGAGTCTGACCTAGGGTGCTCTGGCTCCTGGAGAAGGTGATGCCAGTTAAATAGTTAAATACCCACGAACTTTCAGAGAAACTTTTAGAGTTCTAGGTGGCATCTAAGTTGGGCATCGAGCCCAATGGCACCACTGGTTTCGGCAGCAACTATTAGGCAGCAGCCAATGGCTGTCTTAAAATACATAATTAGGTTTTTTTTAAAGAACTACTCCTTTCCATCATTAATATATAACTGTTGCTTGGCGGCAACATATTTGGCAATTTGTTCATGAAAGTCCAAAAATGTAAATTTCAAACTGCCATCTACAAAGCCAATATGGAAGTCATAAATACCTCCTATTCACATGAGAAGGGGCCTCACCCACTTCAGGGCCCACAGGACCACTCCTTTCTATTCCCTAAGTCCTGACATGGCATTGTATCCACCTGAAATGATTTCAAGTTGCTTATTAGGACTTTCTTTTTTTTTTTTTTTTTTGAGACAAGGCCTCAGGTAGTCCAGGCTGGCCTTGAGCTCACTGTGTAGCTGAGATGACTCTGAATGTCTGATACTCCTTCCTCTACCTCCCAACTACTAGAATTACAGGTGTGCACTACCACGTTCAGTTTTATGTGCTGCTAGGAACTGAACCCAGGGCTTCATGCATGGGCAAGCATTCGACCAACTGAGCCACACCTAGTCACTAGTGTGTTTCTAACTGACGTTCGCAGGAGGGGTGCATACTGCTTGAAGATGTAGCAGCTAAGGAGCCCTGACAGTCTCCAGGGTGTCGGGAGAGGGTCCTTCCTCCAGCTGTCGGTAGAGGCCAAGTCAGGTGCTCAGCCACCTCTGGCGTCTCTCCCTGCCAGCCGGCCGAAGTAGGATGCTGGGAAGGAAGCCTTGCTGAAGGTGTCCAGGTGAGCCCATGCCACCCACACTGGCTTTGTACATGCTGTTTCCTGGTGAGTGCCCGCAGCTCCTGGGGATGCTCGAGAGTGCAGTGCCAGAGCTGCAGGCAGGGCGCAGGTCAGTTCCTGCAGCCGGCTCAGAGTCCCAAACATGCCCCTCTCACTCACTATAACAAGTAACAGGCAGCATTCTACAAGGGCATTCCTAGGTGCTTCCGAAAACCAGACACAGGCGTAAAACCCAACCTCACAAGCGGCAAAGGCAGTGGATGTACAGAGGCAGAGGCAAGGAGTCTGGGTCTCTGGTGACCCAGGTTAGTATTTGGTTATGGTAATGCTGTCAGGCTTCAAGCACCACACCAACTGGGTAGCCCGTGGGATCTGAAACTGCAAAGTGGGTACCCTAGGACTCTGCATTTGAAAGAGGATTAGTGGTTAGGAGCTAGAGTACGGGCCAGTGACTTTGCCTCTTGTGGGAGGCAAAGCTTTCTTCCAGGCATACAGATGGAGTAACTCTGTTAAGGGTTCCGAATGCTCACAGGGGGAAACTCATTCTCATCGTCAAGACACACTGGTCCCGTTGCAAATTCGTGTTCCGGAATAACTTCTCCTCGGAGCGCCCCACCGTCCTCAGAGTAACCTGGAGGCAAGAGTTAGAAATGAAAGAGGTGGCACCCCATGGTGAGTGCTGGAGGGTCAGGACCTGAGGAAAAGGGAGAATGAAGGCAATGGGTGGACGCATCTCTGCCTCCCAGATAGAGGGAAGGGACAGCTCAGGGGGAGTCTAAATCCTCTCACTAGCTTGTCCCTGAGCCCCAAGAGACAGGCAGGTCTCACCCACCTCCCATCTGAAACTCCAGCTCTTTGGAATTCTTCAAGAAGTGAAGGGTTATTGTTTATTAATTGAAGCCTTTAGTCCCAGCGGCAGAGGCAGGCAGATTTTTGTGAGTTTGAGGCCAGCCTGGTCTACACAGTGAGTTCCAGGCCAGCCTGGTCTACACAGTGAGACTCTGTCTAAAAGAAAGAAAACAAAAAAGAAAAAAGGAAGGAAGGAGGGAGAGAAGGATAAAGGGAGGGAGGGAAGGAAGGAGGGAGAGGAGAAAGGGAGGGAGGGGAGGAAGGAGGGAAGGAAGAAAGGAAGGAAACCTTGGGCTACAGCCTCCTGTTAGGGACCCGAGGCTGAAGACTATTACCAGGCCTCACAGCAAGGAAACAACCTCGGAGAGTCACCCTGAGATAAGCAGCAGCCTGTAGCCGGCCGCCTGGCTCACCTGGCACAGTGGAGGCTGCGGACGTGCTGGGCCTTGCTACAGTTGCTGCATAAGACGGAGGTAAGGAAGGCCTGAGGTCGTTCTCTTTGTTGTCTTCTGTTGTTCCTGAGCTGAGCAAACTACTTGCAGCAATTAGGGAGAGGAAGAACAGAAGAATCAGCAGCGCATCTCCAGAACACCTTCACACGGAAAAGGGCGAGGTGGCTCTCGCTCTGCTATTTGAGGGTAAATTACAGACCGGCCAGGGCACTGTAAGATCAGCATGTACCCAAGCAGGTCAGCCATGCACCTTCAACATGACCCATCCCTTACATGAGTAAGCAAAGCCCTGCCCTCTGCTCTTCTGGATCATTCAGGCAAGAACGCCAAGACATGCTCACAAGGTTGTGGGTGGGGTGCCGTGACAATCCAGCTCACAGAATCCAGTCCACCACTGGTCAGCCTACACATGTCACAGAATTCTAGGAACTTTGAAATCTGATTCTGTGAACATTTTTGACTATTCACTGTGTTCCTAAGGGCTGAGCAGGGGGGGCAACTCATTTGGGGTATGTTTTGTGTCTGGGCTCTGTTCCAAAGGGGACAGACAGGAGGCGGGGGGTGGGGGTGGGGGTGGGGGTGGGTGTGGGTGGGTGGGTACCTGACAGTGAGACTGGGCTGAAGCAAAGCCTGCTGGGGGCTTGCTACAGAGACACCAGGAGGGAGCAGGAGCAGCAAGAACCCTGGAGCAGGTCACTGTCCCCAACACAGAGACAGCTCTGCACACCTGTTCCTGAACAGCTGTTTGGCAATTAGAATCTTCACCTGTGGGTTTTGATTAAGACGCACTCTCCTCCATCCTGAGGGTCCAGATTGTAGATGTAAAGGTGTCCATCGGAGGAGGCCACTAGCAGTCGCGGCAGTTTTTGGATCCTACGAGACAAGTGATGGATTGCTACAGATGTGGTGTCGGCTGGCAAAGCCTCATTCTCCCGTCCCTGTCTCCAGCACTTCTGCCTTTGAGAAACCCTTAGCCCAGTGGTCCCGAGTTGGGACTTCTGGACATGCCTTTACATCCCGAACTGATCATCTACTCTCAGGACTGTTTCTGGGTTTTGTATGGGATGGGACAAAGGTAACGTACATAGACAACAGCACCGCGGACGGCTACGGCCAGCGTATTGGTGTCCCTAGATGGAATGTGGTCTCTATATTATTTGTGTCTCTGACTTCAACAGTGATGGAAAGTGGAACAGAATACAGCTGGCTTACCATCTAGGTTTATAAACGTGTGTTTACATGTATGCGAGTGAGCATGCATGCAGAGGCCAGAGGGCCCCCTTCTCTTGAGACAGAGTTTCTTACTGGCCTGGTACTCACTGATTAGGCCAGAGAGCCCCAAGGACCCACCTGCTTCCACCGTTCTGTGGTGGGATGACAAGCACATGCTTCCACATCCAGCTGTTTCATGTGGGGTCTGGGGCTCAAACTCCAGTCTTTTTGCTTCTAGGGCAAGCATTTTATTGACTGAGTTATCTCCCTAGCCCCTAAAATTATTCTTTTTCTTGTCTGTTGAGACAGGATTTTGATGTATATTCTGGGCTGGCACTGTATTTGCAAAGCCCCTGGCTGGGTCTCCTGAGTGCTAGGATTACAGATGTGGACTGCCATGCCCAGCTCAGTTTTTGTTTGTTTGTTTTGATTTTCTAACAAATGCCCTAAGCTTATTAAATTAAGACACCTGTCAGCCACATAGCTATTAAGCTGGAACTCCATTATTATTATTGTTGTTGTTGTTGTTATTTTGAGTCAGGGTTTCTGTATAGCTTTGCGCCTTTCCTGGAACCTGTAGCCCAGGCTGGCCTCTGCCTCCCAAGTTCTGGGATTAAAGGCATGTGCCACTACCACCCGGCTCCATTATTTTGTCTTACATAAACAAAGATTGTAAGGCACTGTCATTGGGACCAAGATTTGATATTTACATGCCAACTCCCAGCTGCCCCCTGAGAACCCACATTAAAACCAGCAAACAGATTCTGCTCGCCCTTTCTTGGGGCTGTTTTGCTTTTCTTTTATTTATGTGTGTATGTGTGTGCCTGCGTGTCTGTATGTGCACCACACGCATGCAGTGCATGCAGAGGCCAGAAGAGGGCGGCAGATCCCTCCAACTGGAGTTATAGGCAGCTTGGGCCACCGGATGAGTGTGCTGGGAACTGAACCCTGATCCTCTGCAAGAGCAGTAAGGGCTCTTAACCGCTGAGCCACCTTCCCAGCCCTGCCTTTTTTCTTTTCATACATTTAGGGCTTCCACATTCTGGGAAAATACATCTGTGAGTTTGGTGGCACTGTACATACGTGGACAGGGTACAGATGTTCTTCTGCCCAGAGAAGTTCAGGCGTCCTGTGGCGAAAGCCCTGTCCTGGTTCATCATGTCCGACACCTGGGCGGGGAGGTAGTTGGTAGCTGCCATGAACATCTTTCCCATGTAGCCACTCCAGGTGGAAGGCTCTTCTGGGCGGCTAGGGGAGGCAATGCAGAGGCAAGGGTGGGCCTGGGCTGTGGGCACAGGCACCTTGCCAGTGATTGCTGCAGTCCAGCATCAGCCTCAGCAGGCAGAGGCTGTGCCTGAGCACAGTGTTCCGGCCACAGACACATTATTCCAGCAATAACAACTAAAGAGCATCGGGACCTGCATGTCCTTCAGAAGCCTGTAAGCCTGGTAAGAGGTACCCTGTGCTACTGCTTTCTTACAGTAGAGAGTGTTTCTGACCATTAGTCCGATTCCTAGATTTCCAAAAGAGGGCAAAGGTAGAGCTTCAGATGGAAGAGATATCTGCACCCTGTAAAAGGAGCTCACAAGCCCGAATGGGGTTCAGGGAAGAACAGACAGAACCCTTTGAAGGCTTCCTGAGCCAGACTGAGTAGGAAGCAAGCCTCCAGGCAAGACACTCAAGGTGGTGTCTCATTATGGGTCTGGAGCCCTGTGGTACCCAGCATTCACAATGCTCAGGCGCACCACAGGAATCTGCGAGGTACCCTGCACTCACTGAACTTCATCTCAAGGTCTCCAAGGAGGTCCATGAATGAGCAACACTGCCATCTTAGTGTCCTATATCAGGGAGCATCTGCTATGAGGCCACTTGTAGGTGGGACCTGATCCTGGTGGGATACTGTTACCAACTGGCCATGTGGTCTTCAGACTAACCTCTCTGGGCCTTGACATTCTTGACTGAAAGGGACACTCTTAGACATATCTGTACTGATGGTCCTAGAGTTAGGATCTAGCGAGAGGAATAACATTAAGTGCAGATGTATACAAAGCAAAGGAACCTCAGTGGCTAAGCACACAGTTCAGACAGGAGCCACAGAGGACCACAGAGCAGAGAGAGGCAGATGAGGGTCCTCAGCATCCTGTTTTCTGTTTCCTCATTTGGAATGCAGGAACAATCAGGAATCCTCTGGCCTGCTTCCTCAGAACTGAAGCTGACAGACAAGCATATGAGATGCATATGGTTTCTTTAATGATGGTGTCTCTGAGGTGGAGGGGTTTCGGAGGTTGTGGGGCAGTGACTGCTGGACTCTGCAGGTAAGGGGGAGCTGAGATTTTGTTATTGAGGGGAAAAGAGAATAAAGGAGTCTGAGAAGGAGGAACCATGTTCAAAGGAGCACTTCCAGAAGACTGATCCCGCAAGAAGTGTCAATGGGCAGTGCTGTGTGGTGGATCCCTCTGCATTGAAACATTCTCCCCAGGAGGGAAAGAGGGGGATTAGACTCAGGGGTGAATAAACCCTCACCTTTGGGAAGGTGGAGACTTGCACGATTTTTGAAGGCCTTACGGAAGCACTGAACTGCTGGGGGAAGGGACTGTGGCCGGCCCAGCTGCCCCAAGGAGATCTCTCTGGGGCTACCACTGTGCAAACCATCAGCCCTGCTTGGTGGCCTTTTCATAATGTGGCTGCAGCGTTTGAGTCATCTCTGCTCCTGTTAGCATCCCGGTAAAATCTCACTGGTTCACCAAGCTGGCTTTTAGTGCGTTTGTTACTTCAGCTGTTGTGGTTTCCCTTTCTGGAGGTGAGCAGACGTGTGTGTGTGTGTGTGTGTGTGTGTGTGTGTGTGTGTGTGTGTGTGTGTGTG